CAATTTTTGACATAATTACGGCTAATTACTAGTAGTAATAATGATAATTTAATAAATCCTACCGGTTTTAATTAATATGGCACAGTTCTTTAACATTGTTTCGATTTTTTCTTAAAATTTCTCTTAATCAAATTCTGTCACTGAATGAAATTAATCATGAGGCTACGAACAGTTGTAATTTGAAATTCATTAAGTAACTTACAATTACATAAAAAGGTTGTTTATTAAAAGGATCCATATTTCGTCTCAAAACTTAATTTTTAGCTCTACAGGTCAGAGACCAGAAGAGCTTAATCGATAGTAATGCGTCCGTCGTCTGTCTGTCTGTAAACAATTTTTCAAAATGCTACTCCTCCTACAGTTTTGGTCGGATTTCAATATACATGTAACTTTGCACAGAAGTAGACTTTTTTCATTAATACACAACAAGATTGCCACTTTTCCTAAGGATTAAGAATAAAGTTAAAATTTGTGAAAGTGCAACATGTGCAAGGATGTGTCAATCAAACCCGCCAATATATTTAAAGTTTTAAATGAAACAAAAAAATTTTGATTAATTTTTGGGTGAAATGCTATAAAAATATATAAGTCGTAATATTATAGAGAAACTATTAACTTCAAATCTGTGTCCAATACTAAGTTATCCCATGTCCGACAGATTTTTCTTTGATCTTCACAAGGGTGTATTTCTCATATCAACATAAGTGTGGTGATATATTAAATATCACATATGTGATATAAAGCTAGTGATATCAAACCGTTAGACCCTGGATGTAGGAGGACCTATGCAAATGAGACAAAAGTTCATGTCTAGATCTTTTTAATGAACTAATAACAAAAACAAGAAAAATACTTAAAACACATCATCTTTCACACAACTGATAATGATATCGATACGTCTTAAAGGTACTAGTCTACTTCTGTGCAAAGTTGTTGTGTATTAATGAAAAATATCAATACTATAATCCAGAAAATTCAGAGAAAACATGTTCGAAAGCAAAACAAACACACAATACACCGTTAGTCCGTGCAGTTGTGGTGAACAGACTTAGGTGATTGAACGCACCCGGTGAATCGTAAACACCAAACAATAACAGAGCCGTGCCCTGTTTACAAAAACTGTGTACATAACACGAGTGTGTTCGATTTGCAAAACTTTGTACACAACGGAATGACGATACCAGTGAAGGAGTTTTGCTTTCTAACATTTCTACTACAAATAAAATTATTTTTCTGGATTTAAGTTTTAATATTTCTCATTAATACACAACAAGATTGCCACTTTTCCTGAGAATTAAGAATAAAGTTAAAATTTGTGAAAGTGCAAGCATGTGTCAATCAAACCCGCCAAAAAATTTTAAGTTTTAATAACTTTTAAATGAAATAAGATTTTCAATTAATTTTTGTGTGAAATGCCATTAAAATATATATTTTTTGATATTATACAGAAAATATTAACTTCAAATCTGTGTCCAAGTACCTTTAAATATTAATAATTTCCTGACTCTTCTGGAACAGATAACACAATTTAAATCAAAATGCACAAATCTTTACAAAAAAGACATTGACACGGTCTGGCGGAGCGGATAAAGTTATCTCCCATAGGAATTTGCACATTCAATAGTAGAATTTTCCTTCCGGCATCCTCTGAAAAGTTCATATTATGAACACCTTGCTCTCATGTACGTAATGGTTATAAGCCGAAAACTGTCCATTATGTCAGATATTAGACGACCCGAGGCGCGTTAGCGCCGAGGAGAGTCTAATATCTGACATAATGGTCAGTTTGAGGCTTATAACTTACTTAAAACATTTCACCACTGTCGAACACTCCCATTGTTAACTTATTGGACAGTCACAGGTAAAGTCTCGTTCTGCTTGGATGATTCATACGCTTCAATACCCCTATCTAGCACATTCCAATTAGTTGGCCTATTGTGTGTTGGTTTTTTGTTTGTCGTGCAAAAAGTAAACGTTGTAGGGTATTTGTCTATGTTGTACACAATATAAAAACAAAATAATTCAATCACTCTGGCCTTGAAATGTCGCATTGCGACAAACACCAGCCCATTGCTCATGCGCAGATGGTGAACTAAATTCTGTAATTCTTCAATTGTCAAAAATTTCATTCATTTTTGCCCTGTCAATGAGTAAGGATGGATTATGAATTTGTAACACAGAATTCGTTTCGTGAACCAAATCGAAGTGATTCCGACAATATTCTTGACGAAATATTGAACGGCGAGAAGGAAAACAATGATAAAAATGGCAATTTTGATTTGAATTTTAAAACTGTTAAGGTATCCAATTATTCGGATATATCGGATTTTGACGACTCGGACGCAATTCTCGTAGAGGCCTCACAGAATGCCGAAATAAAAGAAGCGGAGTTTAAGGAACAGAAAACAGCAAGATTTTTGGCCCCACTTTCAGAATCACAGCTGAAAAATCTCAAGGAAAGCGCAATACCTGTGAACACAAGAAATAAAGCTAAATGGGCCGTGCGTCTATTCGAGTCTTGGCAGAAGGAAAGATCTATAGAGAAACCACTGTTACAAATGACAAATAAAGAACTAAATAACCAGCTTACTTCATTTGTCACAGAGCTGAAAACATTGAAAGGCAATGATTACAAACCAAATTCCCTCTATGAAATAATTGTGGCAATACAACACCATCTACGTTCTAATGGAAAATTCATTTCTCTCTTAGATGACAGTGAGTTTTCCGATCTTCGTGCAATTCTTGACGCGAAAATGAAGGAACTGTCTAAACTTGGTTTGGGAATAAACAAAAAACAGGCACTTGTTATCACCGAGGAACAAGAAAATATTATGTGGGAGAAGGAAATTCTTGGTTCTCAAAGTCCACAGCAACTTCTTGATACAATGGTTTATTTGATTGGACTTAATTTTGCATTGAGAGCTGGACAAGAACATCGCAATTTGCGTGTTGGAGAAAACTCACAACTGTTTTTGAAAACGTCTGTTGTTGACGGAAGACGATATCTGCAGTACAGAGAGGACATATCCAAATGTGCAGCTGGAGGGCTAAATAGTCGCAAAACGGTCCCAAAAGTAGTGAACGCATATGAAAATCCGGAATGTCCAGAGAGATGCATTGTATCCCTGTACGAAAAGTTTATTAACCTCAGGTAAATATCAACGTTTTTACTACATTATTCTGTATAACTAGAATGAAGCAAAAATCATAAACTTCAATTTGTATCCGCACTGTATACATTTTAATGAATTCAAGATATTTTTTTTACAGACCCAAGGACGGGAAGTCATCCGCCTTTTATTTGCGTCCGTCTAAATTTTTCACAACAGACAAATGGTATGACGACGCGCCGTCGGTATCCACCCACTTCAACAAACCGTTGCCAAGTTGTGTAGGATTGCAGGATTTCAAGGCTTTTTCTCTAACCATTCTCTGCGCGCGACAGCAGCGACACGTCTTTATTCAGCAGGCGTAGACGAACAGCTGATAACTGAGAAAACAGGCCACAAATCACTTTCGGTACGAAATTACAAGCGAACCTCTGAGGGCCAAGAAAGGCGTGTAAGTGATATCGTACAAGGGAGAAAACCAGGAACATCGAGCCCACCTACCAAGAAAGCCAAAGATGTGGATTCTTCAAAAGTGTCATGTCAGTGTCCATGTCCAACAATTTCTGTGAATGTTCAGAAGGATGCGAGTGTTACAATTAATGTGAAGTTTAATTCTGAAAGCTCGTAAATAATTCTCTTGTGATTTTCGGTGTTTATTTTCCAGGATTAAAATTAAATTTGTTTACAAGCCTTGTTTCTTTGCTTCTTTTTTGCAGTTTACCTGTTACTGTCCAATAAGTTTCAACTTATTGGACACCTACAGGTAACTTATTGGACGGTGTGCAGAACAATAAGAAATTTATTGTACCTGGTTTAACAAAAGATGACGTCACAGAAATGTTTTAACGTTGAATATTGGAACACATTTTATATGAAGTCCTCGGGGGGTAGGGGAAACCATATGCGCCCCTGGCTTCAATTATAGTGTATAAAACATGTTATAGTGCACGCAAGTTCTTGGTATTTACTAGTGAGTATTTCGGGAATAATTTTAAACTCACCAAGTTGCTGTTTCGCTGAGATTTCCAGTCCTTGAATACTTGAACCATGTTGACTGCCCATGAAGTGTTATGGCGCGTGGTTTTACTTTCTTCATTTTTTAAAGAGGCTAGGGGTCAACAAATTATGTTTTTATTAACCACCAGATATAACTTAAATTTTTCTTTATATGATATCTTAAGCCGTCAACTATCATTTGGTAAAGAAAAATCTTATAAATTTTAGTTTTAAAATTTGATCATTTTGTTATATCTTTATATGGAGCTTGTCTTCTAAAGGAGATCAAAATAGTCTAAAAATGGCCACAACCACCCAGCACTTATTTCACTGGTCGACACATGTTTTCAGAATCTAGTACTTTCAGTCCATTCCGTAAAATTTTCCCCTTTAAATTCCGGAAATGATTCCAAACACCAACTCTGTAAATTGAAATTCCAATCGCATCATCTCTTTCCGTCAGAGGTCGGAAAAACAACCTCGAATGTATTAACATCACCGGATGTTCAAAATTTATACATTTACTGTTTATTCAAATATAGGATAGACGGAGTTAGAAGTCCCTTCTACAGTATATTTTAGGTACATGTAATATCATTACATTGAATAAAGTTAAACTTCTTATTCTACAGATAAAAGGTCTCCATGCATTTATTTCAAAGATCGTGAAAAAGGAGGGTTGTCATGGCGTCTTCCACATACATTCGAGGTCGTTTTTCCGCTAGTCGGAAAGCCCCGAGAAGTTGCGATTGATCGAAAGTCATAAAGTCCTGGCCACATGGGCCATTTAAATCCATACATCTGAACTGCTTCACCCCTACTAATGTGTTCGGAACTTTTTATTTTTCGTTGTTCTGCAAATTATAAAACCCGAGGAGTTCAAAGTAGCTTTCGCAGTAGCTCTGGCGAGAGTCAGCGAGATAGGGTAAATTATTCACGGAAATGTGGCTAGGAAGTGACTAGCACGTGAGGACATGGTAAACAGAGAAGTTATGTTGTGTTTCAATTTTTACCACCCCATAATATCTGTAGAAATGTACTTCAATATTTCATTTGAATTCATTCAACTTGAATAAGTATGTATATTCGAGATATGATATTATTTTTCTGCATTCATGCATTAAAAATTCTTTTTGGACTAATATACATGTATTTGGAACTGGGACTATATTTTTGGGCGTCAGCTTAGCAAATAAGGCACAAACATGACTTTAACTGACAAATCAGATGAATGAGAATTGCATTATGGGTTACTACGGGTAATACAGGAATTTTACACCTGACAAAAAAAATGTAATTGCGATGGGAAAGGCACAACGAACAATAGTCCACCCATTTCGTAAAGCAATTTCAATTGTTTCTTTTTGTCCTATTATTTCCATGCTAACAATGAAAAGCGATTCATTTATTGAATAAACGTAAAATTCTAGGTTTTTCTGAGTCATACTACAAAGCGATTTGATTCTGTTTTGATTCCTTTGTTGTACTATAGGTAAATACAATTATCAGGTGGATTCCCTGGCCAAAAACACGTGTGATCACGGGGATTGTCCGTTTAAATGCTCAGGAGATGCTGCTCGGTTTCCCTACCCTTGAAGCTCTGGTGTTCTGAACTTGACACAAACTACATTTTATTAGGTCACCTGAGTAAACTCAGGTGACCTATTGCTATCTGTTTTCGTCCGTCGTCGTCCGTCGTTCGTCGTCCGTCGTTCGTCGTCCGTCGTGTGTTAACATTTGAACATTTTCAGCTTCTTCTCTGCAACCACTGAACCAATTTCAACCAAATTTGGCACTAAGCATCTATGGGTGAAGGGGAACAAAAATTGTGAATTTCATGATCCCTGCCCCCCTGGGGCCTGAGGGGTGGGGCCAAAACCACTAAAATTAATGCAATCTTTAAAAATCTTCTTCTGTACTCCTGGACATCAAGCAGTCAAACTGTTTGCATGATTGTAATCAGCATTGAGTCCTTTACCAAAATTGTGAAATTCATGGCCCTGGGGTCAGGGGTTCTAGTGCTAGGGCGGGGCTGAATAAGTATATTGTGAAAATGCATTATTTCTTTGGAAATCTTCTTCTCTACTCCTGGGTATTAAATAAACCAACTAAGTACATAGTTATGATGAGCAAGAGTGCCTCTACCAAAATTGTGAATTTTATGGCCCCAGGGTCAGGGGCTCTGGTGTTAGGGCGGGGCTCTATTGATTATATATAGTGAAAATACATGATTTCTTTGAAAATCTTCTTCTCAGCCCCTTGGTATTAAATATACTAACTAAGTGCATAGTTATGATGAACAAGAGATCCTCTACCAAAATTGTGAATTTTATGGCCCCAGGGTCAGGGGTTCTGGTGTTAGGGCGGGGCTCTATTGATTATATATAGTGAAAATACATGACTTATTTGAAAATCTTCTACTCTGCTCCTAGGTATTAAATAAACCAACTAAGTGCATAGTTATGATGAGCAAGAGTGCCTCTACCAAAATTGTGAATTTTATGGCCCCAGGGTCAGGGGTTCTGGTGTTAGGGGGGGGGGGGGCTCTATTGATTATATATAGTGAAAATAAATGATTTCTTTGAAAATCTTCTTCTCTGCCCTTGGGTATTAAATATACTAACTAAGTGTATAGTTATGATGAGCATGAGTGCCTCTACAAAAATTTTGAATTTTATGGCCCCAGGGTCAAGGATTCTGGTGTTAGAGGGGGGGGGGTTCTATTGATTATATAGTGAAAATACATGAATTCTTTGAAAATCTTCTACTCTGCTCCTAGGTATTAAATAAACTAACTAAGTGCATAGTTATGATGAACAAGAGTACTTTTACCAAAACTGTGAATTTTATGGTCCCAGGGTCAGGGTTTCTGGTGTTAGGGCGGGGCTCTATTGATTATATATTGAAAATACATGAATTCTTTGAAAATCTTCTTCTCTGCTCCTAGAAATTAAATAAACTAAGTACATAGTTATGATGAGCAAGAATGCCTCTTTTAAAATTATGAATATTATGGCCCCAGGGTCAGGGGTTCTGGTGTTAGGGGGGCGGGGCTCAATTGATTATATTATGAAAATACATTAAATCTTTGAATTTTTTTTTTTGTCTCTGGGTATAAAGCAGATGAACTACCTTTATAGTTATGATGAGCAAGGACCCTAATCTTGCAGAATTGTGAATTTCAAAGCCCCAGGGTCAGGGGTGGGGTGGGGGCTCTACTTATATACTGAAAATGAATTTATTGTTTGAAATCTGCTCTTTTGTATTTATAAAACATTTATTTATTTTTTGATATTAAGGGTGCCTTTTTGAAATTTGTGCAATGTGTGGACCTAGGGTCAGGGGTTTATGTCACAGTGTTAGGGGCACTATTGGTTAGTTGGAATGCATTTTTGTTCCCCTACCCTGCATATGGGTATTCAGTAACCAAGCTAAGCAACTGCTAAGTGTATTGTTATGATGATCAATGGTGCCTCTTTCAAAATTGTGAATGTCATATAGCATCTGGCTTAAAACATGAATCAAAGTCAATAACTGGAAAATTGTTGCATAATGCTCAGGTGACCTATAAGGCCCGTGGGCCTCTTGTTATACATATTTTCTAGTTAACAACAAATTAAAAACGCCGGTGATATATTTCATAGTTCCTAATCTTTAATTGTATTTTTTCATATGAACATTTCTGCGGCCCATCTAATATTGATCATAGATTGACCTGAACCACGTGTTCGAAGTAAAATAAAAACATGTATAGTTTGCGTAAACGTTGCTATTCATTCAACGATTGGTCAGTTGGTGCGTGGTAAGATCTGCCGCGCGCACTGATAACAATAGCCATATAAGGCATGCAAAGGTTCGTCAGTGTAAATGATATTGTAAACACATTTTTTTTCTACCAATGTATCGGGCTATATTCGGTAAAATGTCTCTAGTATAGTTTGCGTAAACGTTGCTATTCATTCAACGATTGGTCAGTTGGTGCGTGGTAAGATCTGCCGCGCGCACTGATAACAATAGCCATATAAGGCATGCAAAGGTTCGTCAGTGTAAATGATATTGTAAACACATTTTTTTTCCTACCAATGTATTGGGCTATATTCGGTAAAATGTCTCTAGTAAGTCTAGTTTTTACCATAAATTATCACAAAAGCAAAGATAAAGTATATTGTTTTGATCACCCTTCTTTATCTACCGAAGCATGAAAGTCCTTCAGGAAGATCTGGAAACATATTTTTTACAGTACATGTTTTCAAAAAAGCAGACTATAAACAGGCGCTTGTTTCATACAATAGGCTAGTTTTTATACTATATAATAACACAAGGTATCCATCTTTTTCGAGACCAAAAATATAGGTCACCAGATCAAACCCCCTTTCTATCTATTGTCCGCAGCTGGCCCCCCCAAAAACACATGTAATGGTTAGCGGAACCCCCCTTCTTGAACCTCATGTATATTTCCTTACCTCACCCCCTCGAGAACCTTGACACTGGCCATAAAATTACACGCTTCGTCGATCGAAGTCAAAAGTACACATCTAAACAGCTCTGAACTTCCGGTTTGCTGTATGCGATGTGATAGACGCGATCTCATTGGCTACTGATATTCTAGAGCTCTCTAGTAAAGAAAACCAAAAAAACACAAATGTAAATATAAACACATGGTTGACATGCTGAGATGCTCTCCGAAAAACAAAATTTAGTATTACTTAAAGCCAAAGAAGGCCATAATTTGGCAGTGCTTGGCCAAAGTGGAACGGGCAAAACTTTTCTAGGAAAGGAATTTAAAAAATCCTTAGAAGAATGTGGGAAAAAAGTGGCCTTGACGGCAACTACAGGCATCGCTGCATTAAATATAGGCGGGACAACGATTCACCGCTGGAGTTGGATAGGAGATGGGAGGGATTCCTCTGAGACACTGTGCAAAAAAATTCTCTTAGATGAAAGTTACTTTGATCAGAAAAGAGCAATTTCAAACACTGATGCGTTAATAATAGATGAAATATCTATGCTTAGTCTGAAGCTATTTGATACCCTGGAGCATGTTTGCAGGAAAATTAGGGACAGTGACACGTATTTTGGCTCAATTCAAGTGATTGTCATTGGTGACTTTTTTCAATTACCACCTGTGCCTGATCCTCTAAAGGGCGATAGAGGCGAATTTTGCTTTTTATCAGAAAGATTTACAAACACATTTACTCACTGTATCGTTTTAAACGAAGTGAAAAGACAAAATGAAATTGACTTTATTAACTGTATAAATGAAGTTTCGAAAGGAAATATGACCGATGAGTCTCTAGCACTTCTTAGGAGAATGAAAAGACCACTACCCCAAGGACCACCTCCAGTACGACTTTGTGCAAAAAAATTTGACTGTGACGTTTATAATGCCTCTAAATTGATTGATATGCAAGGTGAAACAATGAATTAATGGTGAAAAAAAATATCTAAATTCTTTGTCTGTACCAGAAATACTGTACATGAAAAAAGACTGTCCAGTATTACTTTTGAAGAATTTAAGTGATAACTTAGTTAATGGACTCAGAGGGAAAATCACAGAACTTTCTGCTAATGATGTCACTGTGTATTTTGATAGTTTGTCAAAAGAAGTAAAGTTAAGACCAGAATCATTTAGCGTTTACTGCACTGCACAGGAAAAAGTAATTCCAGATTCCTTTATGCCTTGCTTTCAGCATAACAATCCACAAGGCCCAAGGCCTCACCCTTGACAGAATAGAAGTGGATGGGGACAATATCTTCAGCCCTGGTCAGTTAGGGGTGGCAATAGGAAGAACAACAATAAAGAAAAATCTTCGAATTATTAACTTTAACCCAAATTCAGTGCTGAAACACAATTCCCAAGTGTATGAATTCTGTGACAACAATGTGTGTATTGACTTTAATGAAGATTTAAAGTGCTGTAAAATAGAGTTATCTGCAACTACAGGTAAACAGGACCAACATTGCGTAGAATTAATCACATATGATGTCGACGAGGAAAATCAATTATCGGATTTCAGTCATTACGAAATTCAAGAAATAGACAGACTCTGTATTGCAGAATCCAATTAAGTTTCTCTTACAAATTTTGAAAATAATTTAAAAACTGAAATTATGGATATTTTTCAAAAGGTGCACACAACTGGTGGTGAAAATCTAAAGACAAATAGCAAAAGTTGGACATGTTATTATTCAGAAGTGTACAAGTTCTCAACCTCTGAAAAAAAACTTGTTGAGGCTTATTTTGGGAGAAAAGCTACAACACAGGAATTTCAGTTATGCAGAAATATATTTGATCAAGTATCATCTTCGATTATAGAGGAACACACGTCTCATTTGGCAATCTCTCAAGCTGGAAAAGGGGACTCAACAATGACAATATCTGATACCAGCCATTGGTAAAATACGCTACATTGGTGGTGCATGTGTTGCCAAGTCAAAGTTTCATTTTATGAATTTAACAAGAAAGTCCTTGTATAAAAATAAAGACAAGTCATCTAATTCATACTTAAAAGTGAAAATGCTAGACCATCTGTGTATAAAGGACAGCTTGATATCTTCTAAGTATCCAAAGTCTTTGCTTGAAACTGAAAGAAAACAAAACATTTCACATGGTCTAACAATTGTTACTGACAGTGTATTTGAATTCTTCTTGGAGCTAAGTAAAAGGAGACTTAAGTTTCACAATGATGTGACATTTGCTTTACATGGTGCATCATGTCTGACACTTTGTGACAAGGATCTTAAAGAGGACACAGAGTTAAAAAGCATCTGGGAAATTCTTTTTAATGACTTCGACAATCCCAGTCTGAGATTCTTAATAGAAGAGGACTCACTTCAGGCAAGCAAAGTGGAGCTGTATGAAGACATTGTCACCAGATTCCTAAAAATTGGAAATAATGAGTTCAGGAAAGACATACTCCAGAAATATGGAAAAGAAAAATCTGAAAGGCTTAGGAAAAAAGTTGTCTCTGGTCAAGGTAATGAGAAAACCAGCTCAGAAAGTTCCAAGAAGACAAACAAGGATAAGACTTCGGAGATGCCAAGTACCAGTCAAATGGAAAAAAGAGAAAAAGTGCCAAGGAAACGAAGATCTAAATCTAAAGCGGCATCGGGGAAAAGGAAACAGAGAAAATCCAAAGAATCAGAACAAGTAACATGTCCCAAATGCCACAAAGTATATGTTGAAGGTGAAAAATTGGATTGCTTGTGATTTGTGTGATAGATGGTATGATCCTATTTGTGCAGCTCTAACAGATGATCAGTGGGCAGACATAGAAAATTTTGACTGGTATTGTGCAGAATGTCAGGTAAATTTTATTACTGTACACAAAAAGCTAAAACATATCATTATTCTCTGATCTTAAAAATGTTTAGTAATGGCTCAGATATAATGAGGAAGAAAACAGATTTTAATTGACAATTTCTTGCAAATATAATAAATTAATGCATTTGTCTTTGATAAAATCCTTAAGAAATTTATTTCATACCAGTAAATTTATTTTGTGTATTTTTAGGAATGAACAAGATTCCAGTAATGTGGTAACTCCTAGATAGTAGAATATTCAGGTAAGTACTAAACTTATCATAAATGCATTAAGATCTTAACAAGTAAACGGTAACTGTTCTTATTTTATAAATGTGAATGATCAACTAATCATTGTTTTAGTGCAATATGTTTACTGGCAATTACAATCATAAAAGTCCATTATTTACATAAGTGGTTTTCCCAGTGCAAATGGTTTTGCTGGCTCCTTCATCCCCACATTAGATTTTCTAGAGGTGGTGGTCTGTCCTAAAATAATACTATTGATACCAGTCCGGTATTCATTGTAATTGGGATTAGTGTTTGCACCGTGATAAAGGGCTCTCTGTTGGCAAAAGATGTTTTCAATTATATCGCTATTTAAGCGACTGGGAATCAAATCAATGTGTAGCTTGTCAACGCACATGTCAACAAGTGACATAAATCCATGGAAAAGGTAATCTAAATCCTCTCGCGTTTCTATAGTAAGCAAACTTTTGTACCTCTTGTCTATATCCTTGCCTTCACATTCGGAATTCTCCCAGGCCTTAAACCAATCGTACACCTCCCTAAACGCAGTCAGTCGTTCATCATTTTTCTCTTTTATAGGTCGGGAGTCCATGAAGAAACGAACCAAGAAACTGGTTCTTCTGAGGAACTCGATTGCCTGACTGAGATCTTCTTGCCCTGCTGGTGACAACGTTGATGCATACTGTGTCATGAGGTTCAGCATGTCATCGTTTAAACAATGAAATGCAAGTTTGTTTCTCATTTTTTGGGCCCCATTCGGAAAAATATGTTCATTTGTTAGTTTATTGTGAGTTTTGAAGGTGTTAAGTCGATCCCAGGTGTATGCGTCGACCCACATCTTCCAAAGAATGAACTTTCCATTCACAGTAAGGAGGCGTTGATGTGTTTGTAGAAAGCCACTGCTAAGAACACTGTTTCTAATTTTCTTAAGTAAATGAAGTGGATCCATGATAAAAATGATCTGTTTTGTAGGGTCTCTGTAAAATGAAGCAATCATTTTGGAGAATACTGGATCTCCATCAAAATGCATCTTCAGGAAAGCTCGATTATTTGAGGATCCATCCATGCAGCAATACAGAGGTGAGAATCCGTAATCAGTTAGTGCATCTATACACTTCCAAGTGGTGACAAATATTTCTGCCGGGTCAGCTTGTCGGTTGGGAAAGTTAGCAAATGGCCAACGAAAACCTGTAAATCCATTAAAAAGGTATTGTTGTACATGATTTGCTAAATTTTCACTCACACTTCCTGCATTCAACATTTTCATTTTCTTCACATTTTCATCACTATCTGCAAGGCCATGGATCTGTGTTCCATATTTGGTGTTTACTATTTGCAGATCCTCCTGGATGGTCATTTCATCCAGAATGATGCCTCCATAATATCCTGATGTGGGTACGTTTTGGCGGAAAGCTTCATTTTTCATCCATGTCATCATGTCAGGGCCCTGTTTCACACAATTTTTGTAAAGACCAACCAGAGATTCTGAAGGAAGTTGAAGCCATTTCTGCTGTACAATTTCTCTGTAAACACCCGGATTCCTATTGTATATGCCTATTGACATGCTAATGATATCTTTATCCCAACGCATACCCTTTTTACTCGTGTTTGATGCTTTGATTTGCGATTCCATTAATTTTATTTGTTTCTCAGATAGATTAGGAGCTAGCATTTTCAACTTAGAATAAGTTTCATCTAGTGATTTATCAGTATCAGGACTAACATTTTCTTTGTCTTGATCAAGTTTTCTTTTTGTTGAAGAAAAGCATGCTCTACATTTCAAGGATGCAGTTGATGAGAGATATACCCCTCTAGTGCAAACTTTGGAACGAAGTGCAAAGTAGGATTTTTCCTCAAGTGTGATAAGTTCTCGGAAAGTTTTTGAATTTAATAACATTCGACCAGTTTTAATTTCATCATGAGTATAACCTAGACATGGTTGTATGACTTTAAAACACCTGAAGAGGGCTGGTACTGATGTGTATGTATAAAGAATGTGATGAGGAATTCCATACTGTTTCAAATCAAGTGTCTGATTGGCTATTGCTGTTGACACAGACCCATCACTACCTAGGGAAACCTGAAGTATAATACCCTGTCCATTACTTTTTGCTGGTAGTAAATGTCCCAAGGATATTTCTGTAGTGGTTTTGTGCATGATAAACCAATCAACTGGCACATTATTTTGAATATCAGAGAAACTAAGTGCTGTAAAATTGATTTTGTCATTGATTTCCATTCTGAAACTGACTTTCATATTTTTGTCCTCACATCTCAGTCTGACTTTTGATTTCACAATATTTGGAAAAAGTGTAGGCAACAAAAGTGTTAGAGTCTTTGTGCTAATTTTTTCATTTTCTCCACAAGATTGATTTATTTTCTCAATTAATTCTTGAACTGGTGTATTATGCTGCTCAGATAATAGAATGTGTTCTGAGAGCCTAAAAGGCGATGTAAAAATTGACTTTAAAATATTTGCATCTCAAAGTACATTTAAAATATTTTACTTTGAAATTTGTGTATCACAATTACATGCAGACAAGGCTTATTTTTTTTATATTTTTTACTTTCATGTCAGTTATTTACTCATTGTCATTGATAAATGCATTTTTAAGAACAACTCCTTAGAACCCTCTCTACACTGCATGTTATTTTTCTGCGGTTAAAATTATCTGCCATCAGACTTCAATTTTAAATTACAAAGTTACAGATTTTTACTCAATTTGTAAACAATTCTAGACATTTATAAAGGCAAAAATAAATTGAATGAACATGTTATTTACCATGTTTATAGGTTATTTACATATATTTACTCAATTGAAATAATAAACAGTGATTTCCATTCACTGACTCTGTGTTGTTTTGAACATTTTGGGGGAAGATGGGGGGGGGGGGGTAATGCCACGTGCCATACAATGCAGTGAAAAAGATCAATATTAAAACTTTTTAGGCCTAACTTTTATTCAATATATTTTTATCAATTGTCCAAAAAAAAAAAATTGTGCTGATGTAGAGAAGGTCCTAACAAATATTCAATTAAAAGTAATTACTATCAAATCAATTTTAAAACATACCAAAAGGTTGTCATCTTTCACAGAAACCTCGTAAAAATAGTGATTTTAAATTTTGCGCCAAGTGAAATTTGGGGATTCTCTTGTGTCTTTATACATTTGCATGGAAAACACCCGAGAATATCAGTAGCCAATGAGATCGCGTGTATCTTATGGCATACAGCAAACCGGAAGTTCAGAGCTGTTTAGATGTGTACTTTTGACTTCGATCGACGAAGCGTGTAATTTTATGGCCAGTGTCAAGGTTCTCGAGGGGGTGAGGTAAGGAAATATACATGAGGTTCAAGAAGGGGGGTTCCGCTAACCATTACATGTGTTTTTTGGGGGGCCAGCTGAGGACAATAGATAGAAAGGGGGTTTGATCTGGTGACCTATATTTTTGGTCTCAAAAAAGATGGATACCTTGTGTTATTATATAGTATAAAAACTAGCCTATTGTATGAAACAAGCGCCTGTGAGACTATAGCATTTTCCTGTTTATTGCCAATTTTATTTATAAAACAGGTTCTACCCTGTAACCTTCGAATGGGTCAACATAAACCACTTGGCTTGAATTTAAATCACAACATTAGTAGGGGTAAGTTCATGCTTGACTCGATTGAAAATATCCTCGTCGTAGGCTTGCTGAAAAACGGCGATTCTTTACGCCAGACTCCTTCTGCCATATTCGTCAAATCATAGAACAAATGAATTGATTATCTCAAGAAATTGATCACGCGGTACAGTACTAAGAAAATTACCAAATTTGTAAATACGTTACTTGGATAACAAAAACTCTTCGCGTCAAGACTATCACGTGGTTCTGTTTCCGAGTCTTTATTAGCTGATGCAAAGAAAATACCAAATATGGGAAAAGGTCAAATGAAGGGTCATGGGATAAATCAGTTACATGATTGACGGCTCGATGATGCATGCAAAATATCGTTTCAAAAACGGCTATTTTCTGAAGGTATTTGTGCATTTGTGAGATCTTTTCCAAATTCCCGCTCGGTTGTAGATATAGACCTAGTATCTGCTGATACGAGTGCCTTTTTGGAGGGCGGATCCATGTTGTGTAGTAGAGGTGCGTTTGTATTTCCGTACAGCATCACTACGATGACCGGTCCTTTCCATTATTAATTGCTTATCAACCCCACTATTATACAAGGAAGTCGCACAGGTCCTCTTTCCAGAATGGTTGGAAAAATTTCCGGATAGGCCTGCCTCTGTACACATTGTCTTGATGAGAGTAGATAATTTATTGATACCGACAACCTGGCTTGAGAAACGGGGAGTAATTCCACCATTAGGGCGCCTGAAAATTAATTTGAAATAAGTTTAATCGATACAAGTAAATATACCCTTGCAGTAAACTTAATTCATAATGATATTCTAAGGAAATGAAAACCAAAAGGGGGGGGGGGGTAATCGTAAAATATGATATGCACATACCTGTAAAACGACCCATCCTCTGACGTCTCCGTAAGTTCCAAGTAGGTTTTATAGATGAGAAACAAGGACCTGTCGTCTGAGGCGGAGCTGTAGTGCCTAATACTTTTTGCTTCTATCTTCCTTTGATTTAATCCCCCCGAGAAGTTTTTAGACGTTTTGCCTTGAAAGTCAATGTATGTACCCACATTATCTTCTCCCAAACTAAACTGGTCTCGTGTGAGGGATCGATGTTCGTCCATTCCCCGAAGTCCGAATAATTAGTTATAGTAAAAAACGGTATTTAGCAAAGATTTTGAAGTTGCACCCCCTAATAACTCCCTTTCCCATAGCAAATTTTCGTCATCAGCTGAAATAGGATCTGCTTGTTTTTTCTTGAGGCCGATTCCTTTCGATGATATTTCTTTCATCCTTGCATCGAGGGTTTTCCTAAAATTGTAAAAACGTTTGTCGCTGTTATCTAAAAAGTTCTTGTTAGTCACACCGTTGTCACGCATGTATCTCAAAATCCCAGCACAAATTTGATAAAGAGTAGAAGCTGGATACTCAGACCCGTCCTTCCGTCTACTTTCTAAAACAAAGCATGACATAAAATGATTCAAATCGTCAACATCCATTTCTGTCAAAACTGGAATGCAGTTTGTATTTCGACGAGTGTTTTTGCTCTCTTGATTTGCAATAAGTTGTTTAAAATCATCCTTTCCAGATTTTTTGACCGAATGAAAACGTTTTTCATAGGTAATTTCCTCATTTTCACATTTAAGCATCAGGTCAAAATCTCCCAACTTTACATCGTTAAACTCCTCGATATTTAAATTTGTTTCTGTGTTTTTATATTTGTCGAGTGCCTGGCTCAAAGATAAATCGTCAATATCTTCAAATTCACTTAAAAAGTCAAAGTCAAATTCACTAAGAACGTCCGACATTTTGGAGAGCTAGCTTGAAATGAATTTAATGTATTGAATCTTAAGTTCATGACACGCTGAATGAATTTTTTTTTTATTGAATTTTGACACTCTCAATGAAATTTACATCATCAGACATGCGAGAAGTTGCTTACATCATAGATACCTCGTATTATTGGTTATATCGTTTTCATGGGGCGTAGAAATCTCGGGCGCTCCGCGCCCTCGATTTCCCCGCCCCATGAAAACGATATAATCAATACTACTCGGAATCTATGATGTAACCTATACATACATAATTCTGTGCATTAGTTTTTGATTTCGATGAATGTGTTGACGTGGTTATCAAAATAGAAATTTCTGTGAAATGCTTTCAAAATCCTACTTCTCCTAGTTTTCAATATAAATTTGCACACAAGTAAAATACACTAAGATACATAATTCTGTGCATCGGTCTTTGATTTCGATGACGGTGTTGATGTGGTTATTAAAATAGAAATTTCTGTGAAATGCCTTCAAAATCCTACTCCTCTTAGAGCTTTGTTCTGATTTCAATATAACTTTGCACACAAGTAGACTATACTAAGATACATAATTCTGTGCATCGGCTTTTGATAGCAATGAACGGTGTAGCCGTGGTTATTAAAAATAGAAATTTCTGAGTAATACTTTTAAAATGATCCTTCTTCTACAGTTTTGGTCTGATTTCAATTTAACTTGGCACACAAAACTACACTAAGATACATAATTCTGTGCACCGATGTTTGACTTCGATGACAATGTTAAAGTGGTTACTAAGAATAGAAATTTCTGTGAAATGCTTTCAAAATGCAATTTCTCCTCTAGTGTTGGTCTGAATTCAATATAACTTGGTACACAAGTAGACTACACTAAGATACATAATTCTGCATATCGATTTTTAGGTCACCTGAAAAACTCAGGTGACGTATAAGGCTATTGCTATCCGTTTTCGTCCATCGTCGTGTGTTAACATTTGAACATTTTCAGCTTCTTCTCTGAAACCACTGAACCAACTTCAACCAAATTTGGTATACAACATCTATGGGTGAAGGGGAACAAAAATTGTGAATTTTATGGTCCCCACCCCCCTGGGGCCTGAGGGGTGGGGCCAAAACCACTAAAATTAAAATTAGTGCAATCTTTAAAAATCTTCTTCTTTACTCATGGACATCAAGCAGGCAAACTGTTGGCATGAATGTAATGAGCACTGAGTCCTCTACCAAAATTGTGAAATTCATGGCCCCAGTGTCAGGGGTTCTAGTGCTAGGGCGGGGCTAAATAGATTATATAGCGAAAATGCATTTCTTTGAAAATCTTCTCTGCACTTGGGTATTAAATAAATTAACTAAGTACATAGTTATGATGAGCAAGAGTGCCTCTTGCAGAATTGTGAATTTTATGGCCCCAGGGTCAGGAGTTCTGGTGTTAGGGCGGGGCTCTATTGATTATATAGTGACAATGCATTTATTCTTTGAAAATCTTCTTCTCTGCCTCTGGGTATTAAATAAACTACCTAAGCACATAGTTATGATGAGCAAGAGTGCCTCTTCCAAAATTGTGAATTTTATGGCCCCAGGGTGAGGGGTTCTGGTGTTAGGGCGGGGCTCTATTGATTATATAGTGAAAATACATTATTTCTTTGAAAATCTTCTTCTCTGCTCCTGGGTATTAAATAAACGAGCAAGAGTGTCTCTTCCAAAATTGTGAATTTGATGGCCCCAGGGTCAGGGGTTCTGGTGTTAGGGCCGGGCTCTATTGATTATATAGTGAAAATGCATTATTTCTTTGAAAATCTTCTTCTCTGCTTCTGGGTATTATATAAACTAACTAAGCAAAAAGTTATGATGAGCAAGAGTGCCTCTTCCAAAATTGTGAAATTCATGGCCCCAGGGTCAGGGGTTGTAGTGCTAGGGCGGGGCTAAATAGATTATATAGTGAAAATACATTTATTTTTTGAAAATCTTTTTCTTTGCTCCTGGGTTTTATACCAAGGAACCAAATAATGTATTCATGGTGAAGAAAGGTGCCTCTAGCAAAATAGTTATTTTTTATGCCCCCCTGGGGGGGTACATAGTCTGAAGATAAATTAATGCTTTGAAATCTGCTCTTTGGTATTAATCAACCATTTTATGATAAAATTTGCAAAATTTTGAAACATATGGCCCCAGGGTCAGTGGTTCCTTTGGGGTGAGGTGCACAACTGGTTTTAAAGAGGAAGTGCATTTTCTCTTTGATACTCTGATATACCTCTCGGTAAGTTTATAATTATGATTAGCAATGGTGCCTCTTTCAAAATTGTGAATTGTGAATTTCATGGCCTCTGGTATAAAACACGAACCAAATTTACACAATACTCAGGTGACCTATAAGCCCGTGGGCCTCTTGTTGATTTCAGTGAACGGTGTTGCCATGGTAACTAAAAATAGAAATTTCTGTAAAAATAATTTTAAAATGCTATTACAAATACAGTTTTTATTTGTTTATAAAACAATGTGTCATGCTGATAGACTATTGTTTTTTCTCGTACAGTTGTAGTCTTATTGCAATTATGCCAGAAATAATGAATTAATCAAGGATAATTTTTCTGTTCATTGCTGTTTAAAATTTCAAGTCCCACTGCTACTTTTCTCTTCCTTTGTTATAAGTATAAACCAGTAGAGCTACAGTCTCGACAGAGACTTCTGGTTTAAATTTGAAATGCATGCTGGGCTAGATATATACTTATCAGAAATCGCTGTTAGCACTTCCTGTTTGTACATACAATGTATATATACCCTCCGAGAATAGCCCGTGTGGTAGTGGTTAGAGCATCCGCTTAGATTCGCGGAGTAAGCTGCTTGACCTTTCGTCGCGGGTTCGGATCCACCACGGGACGTTAAGACTCGGTCGCAGTAGGTATATATTGACACGAATAAAACCTTCACTCCTCATGGGACCTCGGTTTGTACGGTCTCATCCGAAGGACTGGTTTTCATGTCCCAAAGTGGGATTCGAATCTGCGACGTAAAGATCGCTCCTCACACAGCGAATCTGATTTTATGGTAGCCATCACACTTAATTCGTTTACTATTTTCAGGTTTATGACATCTTTATTCTTTGTTTTTGGAAGCGATTCTACTGTTCTGATTAGGTTTTCTTACTCTTCAGGAATTTACATACAAGTAAAGGAAGACAGCCAAATCTTAGATACTTCTTGAAGTCTTGGACTTTCAAGTACCTTTTATGCTACGGCCTTTATTCTGGTGGACTTGGTTGAAATTAGGAACACAGTATTTACTTTTTAGTCATAATCTTTGTCAACTTGTTTATTTCATCAACAAGGATAAAGAATTTGATTCATAAATTACAGATGAATGTCAATTACCGCCGAGGTTTTTGTTAATTCCACGTCATTATCCGTATTTCTAAGATTTGTTATTACTAATGTTTCATAAAATACGGAAAGAAAAATACAAGTACCACACAAAGAACACTAATAACAAAATATCCTTGCTGCCAATTCATTAACAAAGCTGTGAAATGATACGTATTCATCAATGGCAGAAAAAAGATTCCGAATAAAAGAAAATTTCGAAATACGCGTTTGTTTGTCGGGAAACTTTTCACACGAAAAAGGATATTGGTCTTTAATTGTGAATTAAAATGTACATTGGCCATTTGTGGAGTTGTAAACAGCTAGCAGGATTTAAACTGCTTTTTTGCAGTTGAGAGAACTTTCGATTGTTAGGGTATGGAATCATTGTCCGGAATTATTCATCGCGCGCGTGGCGTAGTGGTTAGAGAGTTTGCTCTGGAGTACTTTGCGCAGGAAGGAAATTATCTTTACGTCGCGAGATCGAATTCCACTGTGGGACGCGGCGACTGGTACTTCGGATGAGACGGTATAAACCGAGGTCCCGTGTCGCAGTGGGTTCTGGCATGAAAGAGATCCCTCCTTGCTCAATGGCGCCGAGTATAGGACGAAAATTACAGCTCTCCACCGGCAAGTGGTGGCGTCTCCATATAAATTCTCTAGAGGGACGTTCAATAATATTCAATCAATGAAATACGATCTAGGCCTAAATAATTTAAAGAGACTTTTACAATCTTATATGAGAAACATAGTATTTCATAAATCTTAGCATACCACCTTTCATCTGTTGTATTATTCTTATATCATTTACTGCTTCAATATGTAATTTAAAAAGGAGATCATAGTAATGTAAACATTCAAGAGTATGTGAAGTATCTTTACTTTCAATACACCATCATTGTTGAGTTTTAAGTCTATATATAGACATGCTACAAAGCTCCATAAATATTGTAATACGTACACTACAACACTGTTCAACCGGTCCCTTTCTTGACCCGGCTTGAATCGTGGGGATTAAAGTAAGATTATCATTTTGTAAATTTTTGCATTTGCCTCCCCCAAGTTAATTAAAAATTTTCATCATGACAGATAAATGGAGGTCAGCACTCCTTTACAAGGGAGTTGAT